CCGATGTGATAGGAGAAGGAAAGTTTTCTGTCAAATGTGACTCCCAAGTCATTAATTGTGTTAGCTCTGTCAAGTTTCCTGTCACCAATACTATATTCATACATCATTACCCCTGTTTTTAAATTAAACGACAAAACGTGACACTTAGCAGCATTCAAAACCTGTCTGTTTTCACGACATCAGTTGTCAACCATTACAATGTTGCATTGCAAGCGATGACAATCGTCAATGTTAGAGACTCTACAGAAAAGTTTCATATCGTCAGCATATATAAGAAGATCGACATCGATAACTTCAGAAATATCATTTAAGAACATGATAAAAAACAGAGGTCCCAAATTAGATCCTTGAGGCACACCGGACATTACAGGGTATTCGCTTGACTTATGTCCATTGCACATAACATACTGTTTCCTATGAAATAAATAAGATCTGAAAAATAGCAACAATGCATCTGAAAGACCAAATCTAGATAACTTATTAAGTAGGATGTTATGGTCTAAGTCTAAACTATCAAACGCTTTAGAGAAATCAGTATATATTACATCCGTTTGAAGTTGCCTATCGATTGATTCAAACATATTGAGTAACATGTAGCAAGTTGGTAACTGTGAACCTGCCCTTCATGAAACCGTGTTGACTGACGGAGATAGACCTGCTTACATGGAAATATAGCACAGTTTGTATCACTATTTCGAATGTTTTAGCGAAATTACTGATAATTGTGATAGCCCGATAGTTATCTACATAATTCCTCTCACCTTTTTTAAAAACAGGAGTTACCCTAGACAACTTCCAAATAGATGGAAAATGATTATTTTTCAGAGAGAGATTGAAAATGATCATGAGTGGATATGCTAAAATGGACGCACAATCTCTCACAAAAATGCAGGTATTTGATCAGGCCCTGCAGTCATTTTTGGCTTAATTTTCTTGAGCGCCTGTAGCACATCGATTTCCTGTACCCTAGGCATAGCTAGTGTAGTAGTGAAATGGTAGTCAGTATACAGATCAGATTGAGCTGTTGGAGTATTAAAGCTCCCACTAAAGTGTTCCGCAAATGCGCCAACTACATCATTAGGTGTATTCAACCTCATCAGATTGAACAGCAGATGCTACGGAATACCAGTGCAGTTTCTCTTTCTATTAACAAAGGACCAGAATTTTTCGGAGCTATTGGATATTCCACACTCTAAAGAGTGGATGTAGCGACGATATGAAACAGCTACATGTTGCTTCATCTCTGAGCGAGGTCTTATAAATTTTTCTATATAAAATGTATCACCAGTGCGTCTGAAAGTCTTGAATGCCACTATTCTTTGTTTGAGGGTTCTAATGATATGGTTGTTGTACCAAGGAGGATACCTATTATTATAAGATAGTTTAACTTCAGGAACACAACAATCAAGAATTTTATAGATCTGAAAATAGACATATTCACATGCTAAATCAACGTCATTAAAATTTCTCAAATCGCCCCAGCTAATATTCACAATTATTTCATAGAGCAGCGGAAAGTCAGCTTTCCTAAATTTATATGAACCTTTAAAGTTGCTATGCAACACGCTATTATGTTTGGTGCAAGGAAAATGACTCACAGTTACAATCAATGCAGGATGATGGGGATCCGCTCACACTAACGCATCATCAGCATGTTCAACATGGCAAATGGCATTGCTCCAAATTAAATCTAACAAATTTACATTTTCATTGTGCATGTAATTATACTGAATGACATTGAAAAATCTTGCTAAAACATTTAAAGTGTTTATGTAACTATTTGAGATACTATTTTCAAGATAATCAGCATATGATGTTATATTAAAGTCCCCAACAATGAAAATACTGCCAGTATGTATAAACTCTAGACTATGTATCGCTTCCAACAAGATTTCGTAGTCGGTAACGGTTACCTGAGGAGGTATGTACAGATTAATCACATATATTTTGAAGTAATGGACACTGACTTTAATTACTAAAATATCGATCTGTGGACTGACCTGGTTGAAAGGTGGGTATATATATATATATATATATATATATATATATATCGATGGCAGATGACTTATATTCACTCCTAACAGCAATAGTCACTCCTCCAACTTTCCTCAAATTCACTGATGAAAACTTACGATCAGATCTGTAAACTGCATATCCAAATACAGTTCCCCGGTTAAAGTTTATTCGACGAATAGAGGCCATACAATATGATATAGGCAGGATGCCGTGCAATGGTTTCCGTCATAGTCTCGCAGAATTCTGTTCTTCGATGAATTCGAATTTTGTATGGGTGATACTTATTCTTTTTCAAAAGTGTCCATACAGTAGAAGGACAAACCTTACATATATTAGCGACGGAGGAAATAGACTGTTGGGGATTTACTATGATCTCACCCATTATTTGAACTTGCTGTTCTTCCGGGATGGTCGGACGGCATGGGGGCTGTTTGTTGTTTACAATACCAGTAGCTGTCAATTTAGATACAAGTTTCCTTAAATATTTTCTACAGATATGACGATTCGGGAAACGATCATTAAAAATCCTTTAGGTCTCGTGAAAGTAACGCGTTGCACATAAATAAAAATCGCTTCTATTTTTTCTTCCAATGGACGAGAACTGACCATTTTAAAAATAGTTCAAACACTAAAACCGAAAACTAAATAAGAATATTTTAACTGTACAATGATGTAGGTTTTCGTACTGATATTCTTGTCACTGTCAACAAAAAATAACAAAACAAGTTTTTATCGCTGTTGCTGTGGATATGGCAGAGAATTACAATTATTTGTAGAGATATACATGTTAGTGGGTTTGTGTTCAAGTAATTATTACGTGTACCACCATTTTGTAGTAGGTAAAGGTATTGACTTTTGTATTCTAGGGTTATAAAGTACTCGTCAGGAGCTTCAAAATGATCTGCCACAAGAATCCCGTTTTCATATAATTTTTTTTTCCAAGATGGTGCCCAGCGGCCATCTTGACATTTTCATCTGTCAATTTTACTCTAAAATACGGTATCCACGCATCAATTTCATTACCTCAAGTTTTAATTTTTTGAATTGATCCGTTCAAAAAATCAAAGGGGAGGGGGACATTAAAGAAAGTACTGTATATGTGATTTGATTCAGCCAGACAATGGGGTCCTACAATATTTTCATAATGGGTTGGGATAATATACGAAGTATGTCTTGCAACTAATATTGGATGACAATATTGAGTCAATAAATAATAGATATACTGTCTTAATACTGTAAATCAATGTTAAAATGATATGTTTATCATTGATTGGGACAGTATGCAAAATATGTCATGCAACCAATATTGAAAATTAATGTTGAGCCAATATAAAAAGATTATTGCTTTAATAATGTAAATACAAATTGAAACAATAATTTTATAGTTGATCGGGACAGTATGCAAATTGACATGCAACCAATATTGAATGGTAACATTGAGCCAATGAACAAAGGCCGTATTGGTCTGATATTGCAAATCAATATTATACCAATGTATCCAAATGTTCACATTTTTGCTTGTGCCAATACTGCAAAATTCGCTTGGACCAATGTATCCGTACTATTGTTCCTATATTGGGACAATATACGTGTGCTACTTGGGTATAGATCCTGACCTTTCCACATTCTACGCGGCTAGGATCAACAGTCACGTCATTCTGTTATATTCAGCTCTTTGGGCCTTCTCTACCTGGACAAATGAATACCCGACCTACACTGCTTTTATTTGGCTTTTGTTACTGTTATTGAGATTAAAGACGGCTGTAGCTGGATACTTTGCATGGATAGTCGATCCCACCCAGAGGTGACCTAACTCCGAATCTGCCAGAGGGAGCCCTCAGACTTCCACTTGTCACCAAGTTCTGAATTTCTGTTTTAGGATATGGCCTAATTTTTGTGATGTTATAAACACCTCTGCGAAAGCAATCGGTTGCACCCATGTCCCGATCTATATACCAATAATATATAAATAAGGCACGGCGGCAGAGAAGAAGCTGAAGAAGAAGAAGACGACAATGGCCATTGTGTGCGTCTGGCTTCTTCTTCTGCTGCTGCTCCACGTTGCTGGTTGACAGCGTGATGTATGGCTCTACTCACTTTTGGCAGGCCCGCCGTCCGGCCGTCCGTTTGGCCCGCCGGATCACGATAATCAGCCCGCAGCAGGACTTTTTTCTCCTTCCGCCGCCTCATCCCGTGCTCCCGTTCTCTCCGAGACCAAGATCGTCATTTGTTTGGTGACGGACGTCCCCCAGACGGTTTTTTCCAAGCTGACTTGAACTCAGTATAGCAAATAGTACGAGAGCTTACACCGGGTGTTTCAAATTCGACTTTCGTCACTGGGATCTCGCAAAAAGCTACTGAATCGGTAAAACCATTCGTATTATTTAAGGGTAGTAATGAAAGCAATCAAAACGGTATAACTATAAAAACTAATAGAACCACTCCAGAGAGAGTAAAAGGCTCGACGATGTTTCAGGTTGCTATTATGCTGTACGACACGCTTCATATCCGTCATATCTAAACCGATGCAAAATATGTTGCTTTTAAATAATAGATATACTCAGTGACGTTAGAAGTGTTACAACCAGAAAAATTAATTTCTTAAACTGTTTTCTTTTGCAACATAATGACCAGTGGCGGCTCGTGGCAAAATAAAACAGGTGTTCTGCAATTCCGAACTTACCTACTTTTTATATATCAATTCGATGCTGCGCTCCTTCTTGGCAGCGAATTTGTCGATCACCTTCCCGATCAAATTTTCCATGGTCGAAATAAATTCCTTTTCAATGAACAGCATCGATAATGCTGTTAGGCGATCCTGAGTCATAATATTTCGAAGAAAGGTCTTGATTCTTTTCAATGTTGAGAAATTTCGCTCAGCCTCTGATGTTGACATAGGAGTAACAATAATTTCTAATAGCTTTTTTGTTTCTTTTAGTGTTTCCTCCAAACTATTTTGTATCAAAAATTTCAAAAGAGACAGAGTTCCATGTAAATCTCGGCAATCATTCCGTGCATAAATAACAGACAACTCTGTCTTTAAATGACTTTTTTTGAATTGGGAGAAAGCCAAGCAGGTAGTTTCCAACTTCTCATCAGGAAACTTACCACAGTATTCTCCAAAGTGTTCGACGAAAAAAAGGGATGCGGCTACCAAATGATCTTTGAATTGAAATATGTCATTTGCAAAATTCACTATATTGTCGCATACTTCTAATGCAGCAACTCGGTGATCGTGACTGCTATTATTACGTCGTCTCCTTTTATTGCCTTGGGGTTCAGTGCAAATACTTTTGGCTTCATTTATTATGTCATCAATTTTATTTCTCACATCGACAATACATTTTTGAAAATTATCGATAGCTGTTTTAACTTGCGCTGGCTCGGTTTTTCTCTTCTGCAACTGGTTGAACAAGATGTCGACGTGAGGTATGACATGATGAAAAAATGTCAACCAAAACACGTTTGACATACGGCGAATACCGCAAGCTGCCTTGCAAACGGTTTCATTAGTGAAATTTTCTTCTATTTCTTCCATGCATTTAATGAGTGATTCTATGTTCTCAAACACTACATTTATTGTTCGAATATTAAAATTCCAACGAGGTTTTGCTCCTTGGGGAATTTTTTTCCTCAGAATTCTGTTCAGTACCTCTACGCGTTGAGGAGAATTATTAAAAAAATCCGGAATATCTTTCAAATCCCCAAAGAACACCCGAACTTGAGCATTTGCGGAAGCAGCTTGGGACATAATCAGGTTTAACGGATGCGCATAGCAATGCACATAGTGAACAAATGGATATCTTTGTTTAATTGTTGCCTGTACTCCAGCATTATGTCCGCTCATTGCCGCGGCTCCATCATAGGTTTGTTAGGGAAATTTCCTATTAATGGATCTACGACGTTCAAAATATGTCTTGTGAGAGTATCAGCGTCACATTTTTCGGGATTCATATAATTCCAAAAACGTTCTACTGGTTCGCCGTTAAATACGTATCTGAAAATTGTTACCAGTTGGGTTTTCGCAGAAATGTCCGTTGTTTCATCTGCTATTATCGCTAAATACGAGGCTCTGTTAATCTGTTTTATTATTTCTTCATGACAAATACAATCCAGTAGATCGTTTTGTGTTTCTTTCGAAGTTCCTTTAAATATTGAAGCATTTTTTATGTGTTCGCTTAAGGTTGTATCAAGCTCAGCAGAAAAATTAATCAGTCCACGAAATATTCCCGGGTTTTGGGAGCTCTAGGCTTCGTCGTGGCCCCGTAGCGCCAATTCAAATGCTTCGCAAAATTTTATACCATTGATTATTTTTGATAGAACGTACCTGTTTTTTGTAACAGTATCATTATGCTGTTGTATATTTCTCCGATATGCTGAATCTAACTGAGCTCTGATGTTAACAGTCCCCAATAAAGCCAATTCCATCGAATTATGGAGATGTGTTTTAGAGTGTTCATACTTTCAAATTTTAAGCCACGTCACGCGACAAGACCAAATGCCAATGCCGAGGACCGAGCACCGACCGACCAATCAGATATCGTACTTCGCATAAGATCTGCACGGACCTGTATAAATTGCAGCACATGCTTATGCTTCAATCTCGCATTTGATTTTGTAGAGAGAGACAAAAGCGAGCGCGTGCGGCTTGTGTCGAAGTAGTGCACAGATCGTTTTCAAGTGGCCCATGAATAATGTTACGCTGCGGTCACGTCAGTACAAATCAGACTCGACGTCGACGCCGTGTCTTGCGGGGGCAGGCCGGTATTGTTTATATTTGTGTGGTAACACGGAAAATAAATAATGATAAAATTACTACTGCTTTTTTCTCTTAAGACAAAAGCCTTGGCAGCTCTGCAGAACTTAAAGGCCACGCTCCTGATAATGACTATATTTGAAGCATGCTGTTGCAACAATGTCAATGCTTTATCTTTGTTTTTGTTTACCTTTATTAAAATGATATCTCTCAGTTTGTTATTGTTTCTAAAAGCTGAGTAGTACAGATAATTTTAGTTTGAATGAGGTGTCACAACCAGACATCGATCATCTCATTTTGTCGATGCCTCGACGTATACAGAAGCGTATTCAGCTGAGTCGCCCAACACATTATTTTTTTTCTTCTTACTAAATTTTGTGAGAATGTTACCGTTTCATTCTTGTTGTAGAACAACATTATTGCCAAAAAGTCAAGTTGAAGAAATTATTTGCAGCTTGTGTGTAATTTTTTTAATTACAATTCAGTGTTTTTTGTCCATATCGGGATAATTGTCCAATACAGTGATTTGTCAATATCAGTGGTGGATTTAGGGACGAGGGGCGCGGGGGGCTCGCACCCCTTGACGTCTGACACTTGCTTATGTAATCTAACACCACTGTGTTAATTTCTGAGTATTGCGATTTTATGGTATCCTTTGGTAATCCAAACGCTGTCCCTCTTTGACATCACTTACATTTACAGCACAATTTTTACGATTTATACGTATGTATATACGAGTATTGTGACTTGTGCCATAAATCTAACTTCGACAATAAAAGTCTGAAGAATAACTGTAACATCTATATTGAATCTAAAAAAAAATACTATGCCTACTGATATTTTTATCACCTGCTGATATTAGTATTTGTACCAATTACTTGATTTATTTAACGGGCAGTTCAGGGTCTTAATCCTTCACACTAGTAGATCCCGTAGCGCAATTTGTCTCTAGGCAGTCTGGAGACGGTCTCAAGACACGATCTATAGATGGACTATAGACATCCTTCTTTGTCTCGTCTATCGTCCTTGCGATTGTGTATATTTTTCAGTCTTATGTTCGTTTTCGCCATCAAAGACATTGTTTTGTGTGGAATGGACTGAGATATGTCCCTCAGAATGTTCTATTTATTTATTTACTTTTTTTGGTTAACAGAGCAAAAAGTTTTTTATGTTTTAATCTTTAACATTATTACAATAGTTAATTATAAACGCCACATACTTATTTTGTTCTCATATAATAAAATATTGCTTTCTGAGCATTTGACATGGTTTTTTCCAAGCTTTCGTTGACCAGACAGAACACAATGGATTTAAGGAGAAATAATAGGATAAATTCTAGAAGTTTCACTGAGATTGAAAAATTACCCCAAATATCGTTTGCCCCCCTCTAGACGACACTCTAAATCCGCCCTTGGTCTATATGGAGGTTAATAATAATAATACTTTTTTGAGTCCATATTGGGTATCCACTCAGGGCCTATACTTACTACACTACACGATTTTTGAGATATTCAATAAGTTATTGAAAAACGTTGTTTCCACTCCATTTCTTTATTTGAGTTTTAAATCTCGATACTGATATTAAATTATTTCTAACATTCAATTCAATTCAATTTTTGTGCAATATACGAAAAGTGTCCCACAGATTTATTTCTTCGAGAGATCCCATAGCAATGTTGCTTGTGACGTGTTTGATAAGCAGAAGAAATACTTTGAAATTTAATTTTGTCTGCGTGGATATTCTTTAGTATAGTAAAACAGTAGATTTTTCGTATATCAAGAATGAAAGTTTCGGTGTATAACAGATTCATGGGATGCTATTTTTTTCTCATATATTATTTTTAAAATCCATTTTTGCAATACCTCAAAGTCTTTTAAATGTGTGTTGTTACTCCACACGATGATTCCATAAGACAGCTGCGATTAGAACAATGGTGTGTACAGTATCTTTAAGGGATATTTGCTCAGGGAATCTTTCAGAAGCTCGAATCTTGGAATCAGGCCTCTGAATTTTTTGCAAATATATGCAGTGCGTAAATTCCATCTTAGGTGCTTGTTCACCATGACACCAAAGTATTTCACACAGTCTGTGTCATGGATATTTATATGTTTATCAACTTGAAATTTTTCTAAATTGGATTGACTATTAGTATAAGATCTAAATGTGATATATTTTGTTTGATCACTATTCATTGCTAATCAATTGAATCGGATCCAATCAACTATTGATTTAAAATCAATTTATACTGTTGCCTTTAGTAGATTCCATGAGTCTGATATATAAAATACAAGGGTGCCATCTAGAAAGCTTAAAATATGACCTTGGCTGTTTTTTGAAATAGTCTGTTCATGTAAAACGTGAATTACAGTGGTCCAAGGACTGTACTCTGCGGAACTGCACATTGGATGAGTAAAGAAAAATGCACAGTCTGGTACTCGAATCAGAAATAAAAGTTTTTTATCAATGTAGAAATTCAGGTGACCATGTGGAAAAGTAAACTTGTCAACGCACTACAAGTGACGAAACGTCATACCGAAATTCCAATTATGCAGTCTTGTAGAGGAGAAAAAGTGCCAATGTGAATGTGCGATTTATTTTGAAATCACACTACAAATGAAGTCAGGACAAAATAAAACCTATTCTGAGATAATCTTTGTTTTTTTTTAATTTTCGGAAGTACTCTGACTTCCGAAACTTTCTAACTGCTATTTTCTCAGTCATCCAAATGGCCAATTTTGCCTCCATTCGACCGACTTCGTATCTTTTACCCTTCCCGCGGTTTCTCATATTGTGCGCCGATCTTTCCGGCCCGAGTATTATGTAGAAACCTATAGAACGCCAGAAAATCCTATAAAATGTCAGCTTGCATACTAGGTAGTTTTCAGGGTGCAAACAGGCATTTCTCGTTTAGTCAGTAGGATCGCTGTGAGCGTCCATCTATGGAGGAATAGCTTAACTACACGCATTGTTGGTTGCAAATGTTTTGTGAAGCCGAGTAGTCTATAGTTTTCATCTGTGAGAAGAAAGTTAGTTAAATAGCAAGATCGCATCTGGATGATTGTGTGTATTGGTCTACATGTGTATAGAATCATCATCATATTTGCTGTGTGAGAAAATCACTACTCAATATGCTGCCTATGAAGTGTATCTATTAGCTGTGCCCGAAGGGTGATTTATATGTTATCTTTTCTGAAGACAGGTTATGTTCAAAGTTAGAAATTACGATTTTTTACGTTAATTATGTTTTCAAAAACTTTTAGAAGAGTAACGGGAAATCACCAACGCGCCCGCGTTGTGTGTAATTACTGTTAGCATAGGTATATACGAGCCCCTTCCCACTTCAGTTGGCCCACTTCAAGATTTGTACCAAAATATGCTTTATAAACTAAACATGACGAAACTATTTACTTCTAAAACAATTTATTTTCTCAAAAACACTTTAGATACACTCTAGTCGTAAAAAATACATATTTGAAATCGCTTTGACCTATAACTAATAGAACATCTGAACAAATAAACAATGTGCGAATAAATGCGCGAAGTTAACAAAGCAACAATTGAAAGATTACCATTGGGTAGCATCACCTTTATTTTTTATTACGGCTGAAATTCTTTGGGGCATAGTGTTAACCAAGTTTTGGCAAAAATTTGGT